GATGTTAAAAATGTAAAGTCGGGTATCCGTAGTGACGTCATATTATGTGACCATCGTATGACCGTAGGGGGCGGTGTTGCACTGTTGCAGGTCACAGAGTATGGTGTAACACCGGGTCCAATCCACCGAACCAGAACCAGTTTCGGTTTAAGTTTCGTTTTTGACGTGCTGCGTTTCTTCACGTTTGCAGTTTAATAGTAATAACTAATGGTTTAGTTTTTCCTGTGACTTCTTTGCAGTATGATAAATGGTAGGAGCATAATATACGCTCCCAATGTTTTGTTGGTCTTTTATTTTTGTAAATAATTACCTTTTTTTGCGGTTTTATCTATTTATTTATTTTTATATCTTGAGATCTATGACGTCATCAAATACTCGAGTTCTACTCGGGTTTTATTATGTTAATGTCGAGTTTAAAAATTATATACTCGTTCAACCCCTAGTATTAGTATTGGTTATCGATAGGGGTGCACCAATAAATTGGCCCCGATTTCCTTAATTTTGGGAAATCGGCCAATACTTGCATGAGAACTGATTTTACTGATGTTTTTTAGATTTAACAACAATTGTCTGCACTTCATTTATATTCCAGAGCACTACCTCATGGCCAGTTAAAACAAGTTTGTATTGTTTCTAGGATATTGTTCAAGGGTGTGTTTTTCAATAAAATAATATTGGAAAATTGAAGGTGCATTGTGACCTTATAACACCTGACAGTGTCGCTTATAAAAGAAAAATCAGTATCGGCCAAAATCGGAATCGGCAGGTCAAACTTTTTAGAAATCAGTGATCGGCCAGAAAACTGCAATCGTGCACTCCTAGTTATCGGCCCAATAAGTTTTAATATATCGGCATATCGGCCAAAAATCCAATATCGTTCATCCCTAGTTTTAAGTCAAAATATGTCATATTTAGGTTAACTTGTGTGATCTATAATCCTAGTTGATTTATGCCTTTTCTGTTACAAACTTATTCTAAGTGATGACTTTTTCCTGCTACATATCTTTTGAGGACCCAAATGTGAAAGAAGCTGCTGTGGATGTAAAGTTGTAGCACAGTGGTAGTATTTAAAGTAGTAGTAGTGGTAGTGGTGGTGGTGGTAGTGGTAGTAGTAATAGTAGTAGTAGTAGTAGTAGTAGTGGTAGTGGTGGTGGTAGTATTAGTAATTTAGTTAACATTCAGAGTACCTGAATATTATGCCTGGAAGGAAATGCACCAGCTAATGTTTTAGAGAGGTTGCAGTTTTTTTCAGTCATGTTGCGGTTGGAGCACTTGTGTGTAAAAATAAATATCTGATACATAAAATAAAACCTATGCAAACGTCAGATTCCCCGTCTTTTAAATCCAGTCAAGTTCTGTTCCATGCTAATGAGCAATAAAGAATTATTTCTGGCCCCGTTGCATTTATTTACCCTTTCTGTAAAGAAGCATCTACATCCAAATTTAAGTTTCAGTTTCAGCTGATAATTTTGTCAACCGCGGTGCAATATTTTTGTTTACTCTTTGACTTAATCATAGCACATGCATTAATACCACTGTTTGTTTGTTTTTTCCTTAGCCTGAACCCTTTTTGAGGCTGTGGGAGGGGGTTAGGACCTGAAAAAATGACTCAGTCGGTGCAAGTTAATACGAAGATGCCAGGTAAGAACTTACAAATTTGAAAAACGTTTCAAATTTCAGCATGTATTTGTGACACTTTTTTTTAAATTGTCATTGATTTATTTAACATGAAAAGGCTGTTTGACTATAAGTTTACAATTAAATACGATAGTAAATAAAGATCCTTAGTAAAAACTGTCATGTGACAGCAGGTAAATTGGTGGCAAAGCTTTGTCTTAAGCATGTCCTTTCCTTTCCAGATTTAGGCTCTGCGTTCATTTATTCCAGTCAGGAGGAGGCTGATCAGTCAGCCTCTTACTCTGTTCAAACTCCTTATGGATTCCAGCTGGACCTGGACTTCCTTAAATATGTAGAGGAGATTGAAAGTGGGCACAACCTTCGTCGGGCACCTTTGAGTTCCCGACGTTCTGGACGTGGATTTAGACTTTCCCAGAGGAGTCCAAGTGTTGGAGGTCGTACCAGTGGATGGACATCCACAGAATCACTTTCATCCCCTGTCAGTGAAGATGGCAGAGTTCCTCCACCACCACCGCCACGTAATCGCCTTGGCTCAGCCCCCTGTGAAGGACTCTCTCTTTCACCCGTAACTCTTCTTAGTATTCCCCCCCTGTCTGCTGGGGCCAAAGTGCCACCGCCTCCACCGCAACGCAACCCAAGGGTTGAGCGGACTCTTCTGGAAACCAGCCGGCGGCTACAGCAGGAACACACCCACCAGCACCATAACGGTGGGCGCCTCCAGCTGGCAGATCCTCCCAAACAGCTCACTCTCTCTACGTCCAGTCAGCCTCTGCAAAGTAGCTGGACTAAACCCAGTCCTCAGACCTCTGGGCGCAGCACTCCAGCTGCTGGTACCACAGTGACCCCAATCCCCCCCAGCCAGCTGCAGACGGTTAGAGAGCAGATGGCTACAGCCTTGAAGCAGCTGAAGGAGATGGAGGAAAGGGTAAAGGGTGTTCCTGCACTTGAGGAAGAGGTGGCCAAGCTTCGTGCAGAAAAAGATATGCTTCTGTTGGCTCTGGAGGAGAAGAAGGTAGCCATAGAGGCTTCCAAACAGAAGCTTCAGTCTGCAGAGACTTCTACCCAAACTACAGAAACTCTCAAAACTGATCACAGTCGATTGACTTCACCAACTGGACACAAAAGTCTTGTCAAACCTGGTGAGCTAAAAAGACTGACGGAGAAGTTTGAGGGAAAGGAACAGAAATCTCCCCAAACATCAGCAACGGTTTTAGTAAGTGCTCCAGAAAAGGCAGTTGTTCAAATGAAATCAGTGGCTGTTGGGGAAGATGTGTCCATGGCCTCTGTCGTTTTCTACCACAGCCATGGTGTGAAAGATGTATCTGTGTGCACTGAAGTGAACATGAGTGAGAAATTCACAGCAACAGATGCCCCTGCGGTTCATGAACAGGCTGTGCAGGCCAGAGTGGAGATGAAGGAGGCTGAGGTTTGGGTCATGGAGTCGCTACTTGGGCTGAGCACAGAGGCACAGCGGGAGATAGACACCTTACAGGACACCATTAAATTCCAACAAGAGTCCATTGCAGCTCTAGAAGATCGTCTGAGTACAGCTGACAAAGACCTTTCAATCCTTAGGACCCAGATAAATAAAAAAACGTCCAAAGTCACATTTGACAAAGAAACTTTTGTCAAACCAGACATGAAACATGCCCAAGTAGAGACAGTAACTTTTGTGTTAAGACATGCTGCAACTATGTGCCATCCAGAGATGATGGATGTATGTGTTGGAGAAGGTTTAGCAGCAGGCCAACTTGAACAGGGTACCCAGACTGATGCTGCTGCTGCAGCTGCAGCAGAGAAGGAACCAGGACCAGCACTTGATGAACGGGTCAGTGTTGGGTGCCAATGGGAGATGCTGCCTGATGAAAAGTATGAGGAGCAGAAAGCTACTGTGCCAAAAAAAAGACAGCTAACCATAACTGAGTACAAGGTTTCACCAGAAGAAGAGATAATTGGTGCGGAGGGGAAAAAACTGGACCAAGGAGAGGAAACCACAGCCAGCAAGACGGGTGAGTTCTATACTTTTATTACAGATCATTAGGGAGTTCTCCAGAAAACAAAAAAGTTTGGGAAAACATACAATGCATAATTTGTAACTTAAATCATTTGGTAACCATTTATAGAGATTATTATTTATTCACATGCTGGAGACATTTGAAATTTTATGTACAATACTAAAAGATTTATAGCTAAACACATAAAACAAATTGAAATAAATCTTATTTGACAGGCCCCAGCCGAATGCCTCAGTTTTTTTCCCTGGTTAACAAGTGAGTTGCCTCTGTGGCTACAAGCTGCAGAAGGGAAGGTTCTGACTATTGTTTGTGCTTCTGCACCAAACAGCAGTTCAGATTACCCAACCTTCCTGGAGCCTCCTGATGGTGTCCTGGAAGGGTTGCCGTCTGGTCATGTCCTTGTTCTACTTGGTGACTTCAATGCCCAGGTGGGCAGCGACTGAGTTATCTGGAAAGGGGTGATTGTGTGGAATGGCCTTGTAGATCTGAACATGAACTGTGTTTTGTTATTGGACTTCTGTGCAATGGGCTATGTTTGAGCATAGTCCATAAGTGTACTTGGTACGAGGCCATCTTAGGCCAAAGGTTAATAATTGATTTTGTAATTGCATCATCAGACCTGCAGTTCTTATGTCTTGGACACCCACATCTGTGTAGGGAACTGCTGATTTGCACTGAGGATATTGTTCGGCGGTGGAAGGAACAATTAGAGAATCTCTTGAATCTGTCCACCACATCCACCTTTGAGGAGTCAGAGTCTAGAGGACTCCGGGGAAGAGGACTCCATTACCATGGCAAAGGTCACTGAGGTAGTTAAAATCTCCCTGGTGGAAGGGCGCCAGGGATGAACAAGATTCACCCTGAGATGCTGAAGACTCTGGATGTCATGGGGCTATCATATGTGTGTTCTAACTATCATGGGATCACATGGGATTGCTTTGCTTTGGTGAGTTTATTCCAGGGTGTTGGAAGGGAGGCTCTAACAGATTATCAAACACTGGTTTCAGGAAGAGCTGTGTGGCTTCCGCTCTGGTCATGGAACAGCAGACCAGATCTTCTCCCTTGCGGAGTTGCTAAGGGGGACAAGTGATTTTGACTCTCCAGTCTATGCGTTTTGTGGATCAGAAGAAAGCTCATGACCATGTTCCCAGAGGCATTCTGTGAGGAGTGCTGCGGGGGTATGGGGCTTCTAGGTTGCTTTTAAGGGCCCCTGTACAACCAAAGCAGGAGCTGTGTCTGCGTTCGTGGCACAGAGCCGAGCTCGTTCTCAGTGTGGGTTGGACTCTACCAGAGCTTTCCCTAGTCTCTGATCCTGTTTGTGGTGTTCATAGACAGGATTTCAAGGTGCAGTTGTGGAGAGGAAGGTGTTTGATTTGGTCAACAGGCAAAGTTTTCCATCTATTGAGATGTCTACGCTCCAACCCTCAACTATGGTCATCATGTTTGGATCATGACCAAAAGAATGAGATCCAGTATACAAGCAGACAAAATTAGCTTTCTTTGTAGGGTGGCTGGCTCAGCCTTAGGGGTAGGTTGAAGAGCTCCTTCATCCGGGGGGAGCTTGGCATAGAGTTGCTGCTTCTTTGCATCTAAAAGAGTCAGTTCAGGTGGCTTTAGGGTCTGATTAGGATGCCCCTTGGATGCCTCACTTGGGAGGTTTTCCGGGCCCATCCCACGGTAAAGAGGCCCAGAGGCAGACCCAAAAATATCCGGAGGGATTGTGTATCTCCTGAGCCTGGGAACACCTCATGGTCCCCCAGGAGGAGCTGGAGAGTTTTGGTGGGGAGAAGGATGTCTGAGTTTCTCTCCTGGACCTGTTGCCTCCATGACCTAAAATAAAAAAAAACTATTTTATCTTTTGTTTGAGAACATATTTGATGGTCTGAAATCCCTTTCAGCTCAGTAACTATGGAGAACCCAACTCTGTGGCTTTGTTTGGGGCCTTTAGAGTTTGAAAACACATCAATCAGTAAATAGTTTTGTTTGGCAAATTGTTTTTTTGGACATGCCTACAAAAAGTCATTTAAAAATCATCCACAGTTCATCATCTAAAGTGACAAATATAAATCTGTTGTTGCTTGTGTGTGAGGTCTGTGTTTTTGATGTTGGACTGTTGGATATGGTTTCCTCCTTCTTGCTGACAGGTATGCTGAAATCAATCATGAAGAGGAAGGATGGGAGTAGCTCAAGCGAGAACCGCAAGAAGAGCCTCCAGTTTGTTGGAATTCTAAATGGAGGGTATGCAACAATTCTTATTTTTTATTTTTACTGAAGCACAAGTCAAGGCATGACAGAAAGTCTGAAGGTTGGAAACAAAAAAACTATTTGACCTAGTCATAGGTTGGAACCCACCCACAAAAACTTCCTCTAATACAGCCAACTGTGCAAAACTGAAACGTTTCTGGCCTATTCCAGATATGAGTCTACGTCTAGTGAGGAAGAAGAGGAGGAGGAGGAGGAAGAAGAAGCTGTGAGTTCTTCTGGAGAAAGCGGAGAAGAGTGCTTGGACAGCACAGAAGAGGATGAGGCAGCGTTAGAGGAGGAGACTTCAGAGGAGGAGAGAAACGTCAACCTGGATGAGAGCGACACGGATGAGGAAGCGCTGAAAGCTGCAACTAGTTCATCAGAAGCCGTGAAAGAAAAGTACGTTTACTGTGACGCGTACATCACACATCATGGAGAGCGGTTTTAAATTTTTTTTTTAAATGAAAACACAAGAATGATTTAAATTCGGGCAACAGTAAATTCTGCTGGTTTTGGTCGCAGGTTTGAGTTCAGCGCAAAAATGCGCGAAGCCTGCCTGATTCTGAAGAATCACTTGAACGATGATGTCGAAACTCTGAAGAGTAAGGAAGTGGTGCGTCACTGCATTTTTCTTTTACCATAAGAAAACATTTCAGCGTTGCATTACCGTAAAATACCCAACAGCATTTTCATGTCATGTTTACCTCGAGCTGATTATAAAATGTGGAACTCAATGCGTTGCGTAAAGATGTTTGGAATTACTACATTTTATTAACAATAATGGGAGTTATACAAAGAGCAGGAAATGAGTTTAAAACGGATGAAAAGCACTTCCTTTAACATTTAACAACCTGTCAGCCTACTATTAAGAACAGTTTGAGCACAGGGTATAGTTTTTACAACACTAAGCTACGTTTAATGTTTTCAGTGTGTAACTATATGCAAATCATCTTCAGCTGTCCAGCACCCACATTGTCCAACTCGAGTGGTTCCGGATCTCCAGTGCAAAGATGGCTCAGCCGTCGCGGGTCTCCGACTACCTGATGGCGTTCTCTGAGGTGTCGTCTGTGCTGCTGAAGCACGTGGTCAACATGACCGACGGAAACGGCAACACGGCTCTTCACTACAGCGTCTCCCACTCTAACTTCAGAGTGGTCAAACTGCTGCTGGACACAGGTCAGTGAGCGGCATGTCACTGTGTGAATAACTGTGACTGAATACACTCCGACAAGCACCTTTCTGTGTAAACTTCACATTAAAGTGTATGTTGTTTATTCTTGGTCGGCTGTACTGATATCAACTCTGGTTCCTGTGCTTAAGTCAATCTTAGTAACTCCTGCTTGTTGTAGGTGTGTGCTGTGTGGATAAGCAGAACAAGGCGGGCTACACAGCCATCATGCTGGCTGCTCTCTCGACTGTAAAGGAAGACGACGACATGGCTGTAGTCAAAAAGCTCTTCAGTCAGGGGAACGTCAACGCCAAGGCCAGCCAGGTACGTTTTTGTTGTCGGTTCATCAGAAACCCCTTTAACCAAAAACAATGCTCACATGTGGTTTCTAACCTCTTAATTACAACCAGGAGCTTTTCCACCATCATTTTAACAGTTATTTACTCAGGGCAGTCTGGGTATGCGCAACAAAAAAACAAATAAAAACTGCTTTTTAAAAAAAAAACGAGTTTATGAACAAACACGTGGCTTCTTGGGTGAAAATAATTAAAGCAGCTGAGCTTTTCCCAGATGCAGTTTTTTTTTTTTTTTAAAGAAGTTCTCACTCGCAGTTGACATAAAACTGTCTTTGCTTCGCTCGTATGGAAACTTCGGAGTTGTCAAGTTGACCATTTCTCCTTCTTTTTTTTGTTTTTGCTCTGGAAACAGAGCACCCACATAACTGTATGGCCTTTGGCTAATAATGATCCTGAATCACTGATCAGCACCATTTACGTCACCACTGACATTTTAGCCACTACTGGTTTTATTAGTTGTGCTGCCATGATCAGATCGGTTCAATATTCTTGTCTTTCTTTACTTACAAGCATGTGATTGGATCTGGACATGAAGCGTCTCGCAGTGAGTTTAGTTTTCTAACGATGTAAAACCTCTCCTCGTTCGTTCTCCATTAAAACATGCTCTTTTAGTAGCTGCTTCTATCTAAAAACATGTTTAAACTTTTTATCCATAAATATTAACTTAAAAAAAACTTATTTGAGAGGCATGATGTCAAATTTTCGTGAGATGCTACAAACTTTTGTCAGAAGTTGATCTTCATTAAGCAAATGTATAAAATTTGTGGATTTTCAAGTGGTTTTATCTGTGGAGTTGATTTAATCAGGTTTGTGTAGCGTTATGTGGCGCCTGACTGCTCCTCGCAGGGCCAAGTCATGGGACTGCGTTTACGGCATCACTTTCTATAAATCCAGTTACTGGTGCTTGTTTTTGTTGCTGTGGGGAATAAAACATGTGGCACGCAATGCAGTTTAGGGTCAGGAATTAAAACTGTACCATTGTTTGCTGCTTTGTGTTAAGTTTAGCTCTGGGATGCAAGAGTTCTGTGCACAAACTTGCCTAGTCCTTGTAAAACTTTTACTACAAAGTTGTTTTTTTTCTTTAAAAATGACTATATGTAGTGCAACATTCAGCAGTTCCATTACATTCTGTCTGTAATATGTATACACCATATAGTCACTTTAATAAATGATTTTGAAAATGAATCCTGTTTTACAGATGTGAAGATGACTTATGTGTAACTTTACATCTATAAAAAATTATTAAAACTGAATATGGAATCAGAAATTCAATTTACTCTAAGAACATTAAGTAAAAAATGGGTAAAGGAGTGATTGATCACTGACACATGCTGGGATGTTTTGATTCGTCGCAGTGGAAGAACAGAGGATCACTCAGAAACAACTCAGTTTGTGCTTAGACAAAGGAGAAGACAAGTTTATCTATGAACAAAAAGATGGTCATTTAAAAATGTTTATTTAATCTTGCGTGTACTGTGTACTTCCTCAAACAGCATCTTAAAAATGTATAAAAATAAAACCGAACATTTGTCTTTGCAGGCAGGTCAGACAGCTTTGATGCTAGCCGTTAGCCACGGGCGGCAGGAGATGGTGCGAGCCCTGCTCGAGTGTGGCGCCGATGTGAACGTGCAAGACGACGAGGGGTCCACAGCTCTGATGTGCGCCAGCGAGCACGGGCGTGCGGAGATCGTCAAACTGCTCCTCGAACAGCCAGGCTGTGACATCTCCATTGTGGATAATGTAAGGCCTTTAAAGACTGTTGTTGTTTTTTTTCATCAAATGACACAAACTGCTGTTTTATAGATTTAAAGATGGCTGCTGCTATTGTTTGATGCAGATTAACTGCTCAAAACTGCAAGAAAATAGGTGAATTTCCATTTGCAGTGTTTGTGACCAAACCCATTTTGCATGGCTGATTTTTAAACGTCACAGAAACCCCAGCCCTAATTTAATCTACTTGAGCACACATTGGAATTGAAGATAGATATAATCAGTTTTATGATAATTATTCAATTATCATAAAACTGGTAAGGTTCTTCGTCATACGCACCACATGTGGTACATGTGTTGGAACGAAATTGTGAACACAATTTGTATGTATCACTGTTGTGGTTTTTAAAATCTAGACCAGGGGTCTGCAACCTTTATGATCAAAAGAGCCATTTCTGTCCCTTTGTTCACTAAATTAAACGTGTCCGGAGTCACAATACCTGTCACAACTGGGATTCTCAGCTGATGACCCACAGACCACTTTAAGTTTGTTGGAAGATGCTTTTCTGGACAGTAGGGGTGATTTAAAAAAATAAAAATATCTAATGATTTTTAACACTTATTGATATTTTTACACTCTAAGACAAAATAAAAGACGAGATTCTTGTAAAGAAGGAATAAAATATATAGTTTTTGCCCAGTTTCTAAAATCTAAAACAATAAACTATGGAGTCTTATGTGATTTTTTTTTTTTAAATGTTGAAAAATTACTTATCCTACTTTGAAGAAATAAAACAAAGTGAAAGTGAGTATGTTTTACTCCTTGAAATGTTTCTAGTATTCACATATTTGCAAAATAAATTACAGGAAAACCACTAAAACTAGCCCTTTTAGTTGCTGTGTTATATAGTTTTGTGTCGGTTTTGATCAACGCTTGAAAGACCCCTGATCTAGACATTGTTTTCTTTCATTAGGGGAGCTCTTGAGCAAATGTCTAAATGCTTTTCTAGGGCTCTAGAATGACAAAAATTAAATTAGGAAGGGTTTGAGAAGCACTTTACAACTATATATAAAAAAAAAAACTTACATTTTTTTTGTAACACGTTCAAAATTTAAGTTGGCGATCTTCTGTGACTTGAGAGAAAATTGAAAATCCTTAACATTTTGGAGACTCCTTCACGTAACTGTTGAACATCTGTCTTTAACTGTTGCAGCCCAACAAGATGCTGGTTTTAGGTTTTTCCTACGCTGAGATAAATACCTCAATCCAATTGTTGGGTCTTTGCAGGATGAAAACGCATGAGAACTCTTGTCTGGGATTCAGCTCAAATCTGTTCAGGAAACAGCTCCCCTTGGGAAACTACGATTCTGGCAGTTTCCTCTTCACACTTTTTTAACAAAACTTTCTCGCTCGAAGAGACGGGATTAAAAATCTACAGCGCCACAATCAGATTAGTGTCATCAAATCAGTGTTGCATACAGGAAACACAATCGCTGCTCTGCTCCGATGTCTCAGGGGAAGAATTAAAAAGCGACACCCCTTCTGTTCAGACTTGATGCTTTCAGACAAACTGCCTCGCTGGCCCTAAAACTAGTTTTCTGCATACTTCACAAAATTACCTGAAAACAAATCAGCAGAAATTGCTTTTGTCCAGGAAAACCTTTATAATAACCAAGGATTACACATTTACTGTAAATGCTCCAAACTCGGCGCTTGTTTTGTCTAAATCTCCTCAGCCTTGTGACTTTTAAAGTGATTTTACAGTCAACTGGTCTGTCTGGATGCTTGAGGAGAAGCCAGGCAGACAGATATTTGAGTGTTCACATCTGTGCCAGAATGAGCAGGCCATTTGTAGGAGGCAGCGTTTGGATTGTGTTTCAGTGCAGCCCAGCTGGACAGATGGGGAGGGGGAGTCTGGGAAAAGCCCCCACCTCCACCACCGAAGAGAAACTAGTTGTAAAGCTGACTTACGAAGCAGTTTAGTGTTGTTTCTCTTTTTTCCCCCCAACTAACTTAAGCACAAGTATCAGATATTACACAAGCAGTTCTGTTAAGAATTCCCTATTTTCCTTCTTGGTAAAATAATTAAGTTTTTTTTCTGCTGCTCTCTTCTTCAGGGGTCACCACAGCGAGCAAACTCGCATGAAAGATTTGAAAACATAATAAATTTCCTAAAACTGTTATGTTACTTTTTTAAATACTTGGCATTACGTTAATATAGATTTGATAAACTCTCCTCAGCATGTTTTAAAACATGTCGAGAAATTTAAAATGACAAAACAAACGAACAGCTGGAATTCAGGGCAAACAAGCGTCCTGTTTCTTTTTACTGCCTAATCACAGATGCGTGATGGTGCCGTGGCTGACCGTAATTAACAAATTGCCTAAAGGGCTCAACCATTTGACGGCTGATTATCACGCGATCCATCTAAAACTGTAAAAGTCTGTTTTAGTTCAACAACCTGACATTTACAGAGTTTGCTGTTTTCCTCTCATGTCTGCAGGATGGCAGTAATGCTCTGTCCATTGCACTGGAAGCAGCCCACAATGACACAGCTGTGCTTCTGTATGCACATATGAACTATGCAAAGACCCAAACTCCTGTGGTGAGTCCAGTCTCTCATTCACCTCCTCCTCTTTGGAGCTCGACATGTTCAAAATGGATTGTTTGACAAAAAAACCTACAGACTTTGAGTTGATGTAGCTACACTTAAATAATATTTAGTACTTTTTTAATCACATATTGACACACACACACAAAAAAAACAACAACATTATTTTGTATTATCAGTAGAATTGATGCTTGTGAACTATTGTATTTAGAGTCTGTATTTAGGGCGTGGACTGTACTGACTGATGATGCACTGCTGCCCCCTGCAGCTGATAACCAGGCTTTGTGGTCTGCTGTCTCTGGCAAAAGACATTTATCTTTACAGCCATGCTATAGCAATAATCAATTTTAATTCATTAACAAATAGTAATGTAATATAAACTATTCTGTTTATTGTTAAAATATGGTTCAGGCTGTTATGATTCATACCATATGACTGCATGTAACCTCATACTTTCATAAAGTTAACAATTTTTGATATAACACTCCAACAGGAAGTTGACCACAGTATTTTGTTATCTTTTAATAGATCATTTTTGTATTTTTAGGGTCTACATGGTTAGATAGGAAAAGTTACTTTCGGAAAGAAAAATACTTTAAACTGCATAGTAAACCTTCAATGAACTGTTGCACAAGTAAGAATGTATGGATCAGCATCACACCCCAGGGATAAATCGTAGGCAATCTGTTGTCCAAAAAAAGCAGGTTGGTATGGATCATTAACAACAGAAAGCACAAGTCAACCATTGAAAAACAGGTACCGTATTTTCTGCCCTATAAGTCGCAGTTTTTTGCACAATTTACATGACCTGTGACTTGTAGGCCGAAGCGACACATTTATGGATTTTTTTCCCCATATTTATAAACCAATTTTTGGCTGAGATATGACCGTTTTCATTAATTCTGACTGAAAAAAATAAATAAATTGAGCACTACCACTTTCAGCCACTTGATTGCAGCAGAGTAGTAGTAGCACTGTGGCATGCCATTGTATCATGTAATAGGTAAACATGGCTATAATGACAAATTCAAAAAAGTTCAAGACAAAAACAACTGGACTTTTTTTATTATACTTTATTTTATACTTTGTTTTTTTCTTGAACTTGAATTTACCATGTCCTGGATGACTGAGAATCTTCACCAGCTATTAGTGACACAATCAGCCTACCATAGTCTCCCCACCTTTGTTCTGCTCGCTGCTTGAACCGACCATCAAAACAGCTGCACTGCCCTGGCAAAATGCAACTAGTTTGACCATTAAAGTGCATTTGTTAAGCAAATGTTAGACTGAGACACACCTTTGCTATAATTTCAAGCAAACAGATAGTTGTTTTTAAGTGTTAATCTTGTTAACTTCTTGTTAAAGTACTCCCGTGCACACTTCCGCGGCCGCCATTTGGCAGCCCATCAATTTTGTAACACTGGCCCACATTTCCAGGTTGTCAGCAGTGATCAGCGGTGGCGCATAATAGATGCGACGTATATGACAAAGCAACATATTTATGGATTTTTCCACTTTATTAGACAAATATGGACTGATGCGACTTATAGGACAGAGCGACGTGTACGATGGAACATACAGTATGGTACTTGTGAAAAAATTCCACTTTTCTATCTGTGCAGTTTTTTTTTTCATTGTTGATGTGTTGTAGATATCATCGTGATAGACTCTGTGTTGGACTGGTTTGTCTCTAACCTGCTGTCACCCGTTTTTTTATTTTTTACATAAACTTAAATCCATCCATCCATCCATCCACCCACCCATTCATCCATTCATCCGTTACCTTCCGCTTGTTCCAAAATTGGGTCACAGGGGCAGCAGCTTGAGCAGGAAGGCCCAGACATCTCTTTCCACAGCCACCTCTTCCAGCTCTTCTGGGAGGATTCCGAGGCGTTCCCAGGCCAACCAAGAGACATAGTCTCTCCAGAGTGTCCTGGGTCTTTCTCAGGGTTTCCTCCCAATCAGACATGCCTGAAGCACCTCTCTAGGGTGGTGCCCAGGGAGCTTCCTTACCAGATGACTGAACAGCCTCAATTGGTTCCTCTCAATGTCGAGGAACAGTGGTTCTACTCCGAGTTTCTCCCAGATAAATGAACCCCCACCCTCTCTCTAAGAGAGAGTCTATCTACCCCGCAGAGGAAACTCATTCTAACCACCTGTATCCACAATCTTATTCTTTTACTCACTACCCAGAGTTCATGGCCGTTGGTGAGGGTAGGAACATAGACCAGCCGGTAAATGGAGAGCTTTGCCTTACAGCTGAGCTCCCTTTTTACCACAATGAACTGGCATAGAGTCTGCAATACTGCAGACACTACACCAAGTCGTCAGTAAATCTCGTGTTCTATATTTCCCTCACTCATGAACAAAACCCCAAGATACTTGCACTCCTTCACTTGAGGCAGAACCTCACCCCCAACCTGTAGAGAGCAATCCACCCTTTTCCGGCTGAGGACCATGGCCTCAGATTTGGAGGTGCTGATTCTCATCTCAGCCACGTCACACTCAGCGGCAAACCACTCTAGTAAGAGCTGAAGATCATGACACGATGACGCCAACAGGACCACATCATCCACAAATAGCAGAGATGAAATCCTGGGGCCACCAAACTGGACTCTCTCCACCCTCTGGCTGCACTGGGAAATTCTGTTCATGAAAGTTATGAAAGAATCGTGACAACCAGCAGCCCTGACAGTGTCCAACTCCCACCCTGAAGGGGTCCAACTTACTGCCAGTAATGCAAATAGCCCATAGCAATGAGCCCCTAACCCCATACTCGTGGAGCACCCCACCACAGTGTGTCCCAAAGAACACTTGAACGCCTTCTCCAAGTCTGTAAAAGACATGTAGATTGGACAGGCAAACTCCCATGACCCCTCGAGGACCTTATTGAGGGTAAAGAGCTGGTTCAGTGTTACTTGGCCAGAATGGAATGTAACAATTGTTCCTCCTGGATTTGAGATTCGACCAATGATTGGATTCGCTTCTCCAGCACCCCCAAATAGACCTTACCAGGGAGGCTAATCAGAGTGATGCACCCACAATTGGAGCATGCCCTCTGGTCCCCCTTTTTGAAAAGGGGAATCACCACCCATTTCTGCCAGTCCAGTGGCACTGTCTCCTATGTCCACATGATGTTGCAAATGGGTGTCAGCCAAGACAGCCCAACAACATCCAGAGCCTTAAGGAAATAAGGGCAGATTTTGCCCATCCCTGGAGCCCTGCCACCGTGGAGCTTTTTAACTACCTCAACGACCTCAGCCATGGTAATGGACAGACCAGCCCCAAAGTCCCCTGACTTGGCTTCCTCCATGGAAGACGTGCAGGGATTGAGAAAGTTCGAGAACTATTCCTTCTACCTCCTGTTAACATCACTGGTTGAAGTCAACAGCACCCCACCTTCACTGAACACAGTGTTAGTAAAGCGCTGCTTTTCCCTCCCTCAGCTGCCTGATGGTTTTCCAGAATCTCATTGGAGCCTATCGAGATTCTCTATCCAAGGCCTCACTGAGCTCCTCCCACATCCAAGCTTTTGCCTCAGCAACAGCCAAGGCTCTGGCTTGCTTGGCCCTTCAACACTCCTCAGCTGCCTCTGGAGTCCCACCAGTCAACAATGTCCAATATGACTCCTTATTCAGCTTGACAACCTCCCTAACCCAGGATGTCCACCACTGAGTTCGAGGATGGCTATCACGAGAGAACCAACAACCTTGTGACCACAGCTCAAGGCAGCCACCTCAGCAATTGAGGCACAGAACATGGCCCACTCAGATTCAATGTCCCCCGCCTCAACTGGGATGTGGTCAAAGCTCTCCCGGAAGTGTGAGTTGAAGATCTGTCTGACGGGTTCTTCTGCCAGGCATTCCCAGCAAACCCTCACTACACATTTGGGTTTACTGGGTCTGTCCAGCATCTTTGCCCTCCATCTGATCCAACTCACTACCAGGTGGTGGTCAGTTGACAGCTCAGCCACTCTCTTCACCCGAGCGTCCAAAACAAATGGCTGCAAATCAAATGACACAGTTACAAAATCAATCATTGATCTATGACTTAGGGCGTCCTGGTGCCAAGTGCACTTATGGACACCCTTATGCTAAAACATGGAGTTTATGATGGACAAACTATGACTAGCACAGAAATCCAACAACAAAACACCACTCAGGTTCAGATCAGAGAGGCCGTTCCTCCCAGTCACACCCCTCCAGGTCACACGGGTGTCGTTAACCGCGTGGGCATTGAAGTCCCTCAGCAGAATAAAGGAGTCTCCAGCTTGAGCACCTTCCAATACCCCTGTTAAGAACTCCAAGAAGGCCAGATACTCTGCCGTTTGGCGCTAAACAACTCTGAGAGCTCATCCCCCCACTCGAAGGTACAGGGAAGCTACCCTCTCAACTACCAGGGAGAAATCCAACACACCAGGGGACTAAATGTAAGCCCACACGAGCTTGGCGCCTCTCACCATGGGCAAACCCAGAGTGGAATAAGGTCCATCTCCTCTCAAGGAGATTGATTCTGGAGGTATTCAATCGGTACCTCTCAACCTCATGCATAAGCTCAGGCTCCTTCCCCACCAGAGATGTTACGTTCCATGTTCCAAGAGTCAGCTTTGGTAAGCCAGGGTCAAAGCGCCAAGGCCCCCACCTGTGGCTACTGCCCATGGCATCATGCACCCGACTCATATGGCCCCTCCTGCAGGTGGTGGGCCCACAGGGAGGCACACCCATGTTGCTCGTTCTGGCTGAGCCGGACCATGGATAGAGACCCGATCACCAGGTGCTCCCTGATAAGCCCCTCTCCCAGGCCTGGCTTCAGGATGGGGACCTGGTAACCCATGTCCAGGCTGTCCCTTCACTGAGCTCCATGACATTTTCTGTCCGTTTGAGTCTTTGGAATCGCTGTTTGTCCGGCCTGTCACCTAGGACCAATCTGCTTGGGAGACCCTACTGGGGGCATCTACATTTGTCCCTGACAGCATACCTCCAAGGATCATTCAGGCACACAAACTATATTGGAATTAAACTCAGTCCAACATTAATTATAGGATTGTAATTTATACACACACAAAAAAAAACATGACCATCAATAAAACCTCAACATATTGCTTTACAGAATCTAACATGTAGCTACTAAATGATATAGGTGTTTATTTAAAAAATAATAATAATACAGCAGCTAATATATGAAAATGTCTTCTTTATATTAAATGTAAAATGTTTTGGTTTCCAGGGGAGTCCAAAAACCCAGCCCAGGAGCCCCTCAAGCCCTCACAAGTCCTGGCCTGCAGACTGAAACCGTCCATGCTGCTCCCTGAGACAGACCAGCAAATCTAACTGGATTTGAGCTGTGAAAAGCTCCACTGGATTTTATCTAAACACCCATGTATTTTTTTTATGTGTAATGCCACATGTTCTGCATTTATAAGTATTGTTAATATGAGAACATTATTTTTCCATAAAATGTTGAATGATTATATTAAGTTCTTACCTGTTACAGTGAAAGTATGTCTTCTCATCTGTAATGGATGAAAATATTACATTTATTTGCACAAAACTAACATTTTACTGTTAATATTGAAATACTCGTGTAGTAAATGCTGCACGTGATAATTCACGTGTGCAGAAAATTCTACTGTAGCTCCGTGGATCTGCACGTCCAAAGAGTTCGAGATGTTTTAAACCATAAAGAAGTGCTGACGTGTGTTACTTATTTGTCTTTCCTTTTCCAGTCCTGCAGACGGCTCTGGTCTGTGGGAGGACAAAACAGAATTTACACCTCTAAATGTTCAAAAGTTTTAAAAATCTACATTTTAAATGCAAATATAAAACAACTCTGTGCTTCTAAACGAGGGGTGTCTTAAATTGCTGTCAGCACTGTGTTCATAAATACAATGATACTTTTATCTGAAATAAACATTTCTTGAAAATGTTGATAGGAAGATTTTTTTTTCCATTGGAAGCTTTAAACAGTCAATAAGATATTTATCTGTCATGCTTGTTTCTATAAACAACAACACTTGAAACAGAATATAATCTGTTACAAGTTTATAAGAAAAATGGGAGCAGAATGACATGGCTTTTGGACTTTTAAAAACCTGCTGCCTCTCTTCTGACCTTAAATCCAACATTAACTGAACTTAATGCAAACGTCACAATTCAATCAACTGTTCTCATGTTCATGAGCCACTTTCAGGTTGCAGCTGTGCCAAAGCTTATTATTAGCTAGTTATTATTCTGTGCAGTTTACTTGAAAAACTCCCCAATCTAGAAAAGAAAAGAGGAGAGAGCTGCAATTGTGATGCAACCTGCTCCAAATAGTTAAAGACAAGAACATAAATAATATATTTAAAAATTGGTCTACACTGACCTCACATCAGATTATTATTAATAGCTTCCCCCCGAAAAACTATTCTTAAGTATTTATAAAACGCAGACTTACAAATTCTTGATTTATTAAGGTTTTATTTAATAAAACCAGCCACTAGGGAGCACAAGCCAGTGCATCTCTCGTGCCAGTTCCAAGCCCGGGTAAATGGTGACGGTTGTGTCAGGAAGGGCCGAGACTGAGGGAGAAGAGGAAAGTCAAGAATGTAGGACCGAGGGGAGCAACTCTAATCGTATGGGACAGGAAGGTAGATGTTTTGTGTGTGTGAGAGCCTTGAAAGGGCAGGAAGACCCTTGGCATTGAAGCAGGGTTTAAGTTGTTTTACCACTGTGTGCATAGGAAGAGAAATGGAGCAGAGGTGGTCCTGAGGGAGGAGTTTGTAAGGAGTGAAGCAGAGGAGAACGGAATGGGTGGAAGGGAACTTGGAGAGGTGGATGTATGCACTAGAAAGAAGAGAAATAGAAGTCAGCCACAGCAAGACGGAGTACATCTGTGAATGAGAGGGAAGAATGTGGAACAGCGAGGCTACATGGAGCAGAGGTCACAAAGGTGCAGGACTTCAAGTACTTGAGGGCGATGGTCAGGAGTGTGGTTGGTAACACTTTACAATAAGGTACACAAAATTTGATTAACTATTAGAGAAATCCTCAGGAATGAATCGGGAACAAATCAGGAGCTTATAGGTAGTTAACCAGTACTTACTGGGGAACACACAGCCCAACCTTATTAGGGCGCTACTGGTTAGTTACCTGTGAAATGAAGAGGAACTAATCAAGAACTAACGGGTAGTTACCAAGAAAACTAAAGAACAAATCAGGAGCTAATGGGTAATAAAACCAGTAATCACTAGGAAACAGGTTTTTGACAGTTATGAGGTGTGACCGCACTGGTGCAGGTTTTATTCAGAACCCACATGGAGAATCACTCCTCTGTTTCTGTGGTAACAAACCAGTAGTCCCTGAATACGGCTTGGCTGTGTTCCCCAGTAAGTACTGGTTAACTACCTATTAACTCGTGATTTGTTCCTTAGGCGTTCCCTAGTAGTTAATCAAATGTGTACCTTATTGTAAAGTGTTACTGAAAAGTTTCAAGAGTTGTTTTTTTTACTTTTATTTAATGCAGGTAGTCTCGTTGAGTCATGAGGACTCACTTTCAAGAGAGACCTGTTTTAGAACAGTGAGCAATATATAACAATAAAAAGTTAATTTCATTTCAAAGTTCATTCGTACTCATCTGCTCACACAGACTCATATTTGTGCTGCTGTTGTTCAGTGGATTGTTTTGCACTATTACTGTAGTGTTTAGCATATTTCTTACTTTATATCTTAGATCCTTATTTACTGTTTCTTTTACACTTTATATTTTTGCTCTTGTTTAATGTAACTGGAACCCTGTGTATATAATTTCATTCCACCTCATGTATCACATGTGATGCAAATGACAGTAGAACCTACTTGAACTTGAATTTGAACTTAAAAACAATAGCGTTATAAAACAAAATCTAAGTGCCATATGAAACAATCTAAAATACTAAAAACAAGAACATATTTGTTAGATTTTTCTAATGACCTTATCAAATATTTAAAATCCCTTAAAGAAATCAAGGTAGACAACTTCAGATCTTGTTGCAAGGTGTTCCAAGTTATAATAAATAATAAAGTGCTATGTGTCGTCATTGGATGTTCCCATACAATGGCAAAATTGGTTCGCTGAATTAAGCCCATTGCACTTGGGATATACCCAGATGGAGCAGTGGGCAGCTATGTAAGCTTCCGGGGAGCAATTAGGGATTAGGTGTCTTGCTCAGAGACACCACAACATGTGGGAATGGCTGGGAATCAAACTGGGACTTTCAGGTCCAGAGTCGGCTACCCTGCCTCTACATATCTCGACCCGGAGTAAGAAAAGGCCCTTTTGCTAAATTTAATCCACACTAAGGAAATGCTGCAGGTAATCAAGACCTGAGAGTAATGAAGATTTCTTCAGTCTTCTTCAGACTGAAGAAATCTTTTGGATAAAAGACTAAATGTTTCAACAAAGAAGAATCCATCCAGAGGACCTGACTTAACCTTACCACATCTAGAAGAAGTGATTTGCCAAGACATGTTGGATTAGAACGAGTGGAACTATCAATAATCTGAATAAGATTTATTGACAAACATCCATCATTTTTACCCACTTCTTCCTTTTTGGGTCACGGGGGTCACTGGTGCCCATGTCCAGCTATCACTGTGCGAGAGGCGGGGGACACCCTGGACAGGTCTCCAGTCCATCACAAGGACACATAGAGACAAACAAACTTTCAGCCTCTCACTTTCACCGAGGGACAATTTAGAGTTACCAATTAGCCTAGCATGCATGTTTTTAGTCTGTGGGAGGAAACCGGAGTACCTGGGGAAAACCCATGCATGCACGGAGAGAACATGCAAACTCCATCCAGAAAGTTCCAGAGCCGGGATTTGAACCGAGGCATCCTGCTCGCTGAGGCGGCAGGTCTACCAGCTGTGCTTTAAATTCATCAGACACTGGTTCGAACCAATCTAAATTAAAAATCACCTATCAGACTAATTTCCTTACAGTGTAAACTAGACAAAAGCTGCATTAAGGATAATAGGGTTTCAGATGTGGGTAGAAGGACGTGGAGGACAGAGTGAGGTGGAGGAGGATGACTCACTGTGGGGACTCCTGAAGAGGGAACAGTTGAAGGGGAGGGAAGTCTGAGATTGTCATCATTGTACAGTTCCCATACGATGGCAAAGTTAGTTCTCTGCATTTAACCCATCACACCTGAGGTACACCGGGAGCAATTCATTCATTCAACCTTTATTTATACAGGTTAGACCCATTGAGCCCCGGGGACTCGTTTACAAGAGAGACCTGAACAAATGGGGATTGGCTGTCTTGTTCAGAAACACCACGACATGTGGGAATGGCTGGAAGTCAAATCGCGACTTTCTGGTCTCCAGTCGGCTGCCCTGCTTCACCCCATCTCGGCCTCTCAAGGGAGGACATTAGATTTTTTTTCCGAACCAGAGTTTTGACCTTTTTTTAATACAGAGTAAAAACGGCTTTGAAATCCATAAAAGCAGAAAATGGCTGAAGAAAACTCCTTGAAAGAATTTTCAAAACGCCCAAAGAAATATTGATCAAGACCACTTGAATGGAGGGCTGACTCATATTTCGCTCATTAATGCTCATCGTTTCATCGTTGACTCCTTGACGTGTGCAATGTGCATCGCGTTTGGAACGTCTGAAAAAAGAAACAAAAACGCTGAGCCATTATTTCCACCAACGCAACCATCACTGGTAACGGTTTTTATGAGGTTGAGTCGATAAAACATGTTAGCATGATGCTTCTAAAAATAAAAATTGAACGTTGATCTGCGCTTTGGGTGATGCTCTGCAGAGAATCATCAGATCGTGCAGTATTTAACGTACAACTAATCTACACACAAAGCCACCTTTGCATCAACAGTATTCCCTGAAGCTGCAGGCCTCATCACGATGCTGCTCCTCACACACAGCACCTCGATGCTCGATAAAACAGGACTGGTGATGTTGCAGCTCATACCTGTTTGTATCAGCTCTAATCAGGCATCACGACTAGAAATTCAAGATTTAAAACCTAAACTGATACGTATGCATAAGTTGTCCGGAGAATTTCTCTTCTCTGTCTGCTGCTGATGTAGAAGAGGGTGGAATGGGGGTGGTGGAGGGCTGCTTGTTTTGTCTACAGTGGCGTAACATTTTTTTTTTTTTTTTTTTTTTAGCAGTTACTTCCACACCACTTCTTTCATTATGCTGATCTGTGAAGTGGAACGTAACGCTGTCGGAGTTGAGAGGTCAGGGGCTCCTGCTGCCTAGAAACATACAGTCTAATATTAGAACATTTCCTTGATTTGTTAGCAGCATCTCTGCTGACTGCTGAGCACATGGCAACAGGCCGACCAATAGGATTTCAGGAGACTGTTAAGCCCCTTGCTCTGTATAGCAACAGTGGCATCCTCTCTTTATTTATTTATATAGGACTTTTTTTCCCCCCACCGCCTCATTTTCATGCTTCTGTCCCCCAACAGACTGGCTCTCAAACTGTTAAAGAGTTGCAGCTTCAGAGTGCTGCTGCACAGACTGGAGCTGCTTTGGCTCCTGATTTAGCTGCACCAGCTTTAAAATGTAAATAGCTCTCATACATTATTTTTATTGTCAACTAGATTTTTATTGACAGGTTGTTTTTTTCCATTCTAGAATGCCATTTGCAGATCAGATGAGTTTTTCTTGTGCAGTGCACGTAAAAGTAGGAAAGTGCACTTGGGAAACAGCTGGATTTTCAAGAGGACACGACATGCATCTGTGAGGAGACTGAAAACCTGGAGGAATGACAGCGTGGGAAAAGGTGCCACGACGACGGAGGGGGGGCACATAACACCCAGGAGGAGATGATCTGAAGAAGATGGAGAATGCAGGAGGAGAAGCTATACGGGATAGGAGGAGGAGCAGGAGGTGGCGGGGGGTGGAGGGACACAGAATGGCGTGAGGACATAGGCCGGTGGTTGGTTTGATCGGAGCCACGTGTGCGTCCAGCAACGTCTCTCCGCCGCTTCATGGATGTCGACGAGACGTTGGCTTCCCATGCTGCCCGGTCCCTTCTGTTTTGGCCCAGGTAGGTGCGTATCGTCCCGTACAGCCAAGTTTCCTGATGAGCTCTCTTTTTCCAGGTTGGTTCGGATGATGCCCGTACCAAAAGTTGCCATTTTGAAAGTTCTCTGTACGTTCCTCCACGTCTCTTCGTCAGTCGATGCTTAGTTACAGGACGATGGTAGGCTTAAAGTCGACGGGAAAATATGGCGTACTTCGGCTGTCCCGTTATTGGTTTGGGATGCGACACGACTGCTAAAGAACAAAAAACTTACATAAAAATCATGGTGCATTATAAGAAGGTCGTAGAGTTAGTGACATGATTTTAGTTGGCATTGTTAATGAAAGTGTGATATTTGAGACATTTTAATTATTTTCTTTTAATATTGGCATGGACCTGCATGAGTCAAAAGCATTTTATGTTATTTCCAATAATTTGATTAGACAATCAGAACACATCCTTGTTTTAGGACTTTTATTTTTTTTTCTCTCAAATTTATGAGAATATTGACTATTTATGTGCATATAAAATAAAACAAAAATGCCATTAAATGAGGACAAACAAGATTAACTGTTAAAGAGTAACCGGACTCATAATATGGATATTTACTGATTTTTTTTTAGGAAACGATGAGAAAACTAGTTGATGGTCACTTGACTTATCTGACGTGGGATGAAATCACCATCCACTGTCTCAAAACAAACTCCATCAACCAACAGAATCAATCCTCGGCGACTTTATGGCTGCGTACGATTGGAATTATTTCTATAAGGACGCCATTTCCTGCATTTCGGCTTCAGATCGGAGTCGTAGCTTCAGCCGTTGAATTTCAAACTTCCTTTAGTTTAGTTCAATATGTAAATTTAAAGTAACCCAAACGCAACGCAATATTAAAACTAAAATCAAAACGACATCTGTAACGGTGTTTAGGCTTAGAAGGAGAATATGCCACTTATGTTGTTCAATACACGGTTAATGATAACAGCTAAACAAGAGCAAAATCCAGAATAATCCCACAAATCCCAAATGGAAACAGTGTCTGCGTTGTTACACTCACTTTAAAAAGTGACAATCTGACAAGAAAATGTTTTGTTTTTTGTAATTTTTGTCTTAGATTTGATTACCGCTAATAACCATTAAATTAAAAAAATACTATGATATATTTCTAATGAGCATTTGTGTCAGTTTATTCTTTTTGGATGTTTATTCACTATTACGTGAAATAAAATACATGGAATTACATCACAGTTAGAATCATTAGAAGTTATCTATTTAGTATTATTTTTACCTAATTATTTATGTATTCAACAGTAAGTCTGTATCTAGGAGTTTAGTCTAATTTATATTTTTCAAACTATGGGGTACCCACAGTGATTTAACGTTTAGAAAAATCAAGAATGTGGCAGAAATTGCAAAATATATTTTTCTATGTTTTTGATTTGAAACATTACATAAAAATCCTGATGCATGCTCAATAATCCAGGTAGAAAAATTTAACAAAATTAAGTCAAGTCCTCTGGACGGATTAAAAAAAAAAAAGTTTAAAGGTTTTGTCTTTTATCCAAATCTCCTCAAACTGACGAAGTCTTTCGAATAAAAAAATGAAACGTTTCAACTAGTTTATTTATTTTAATTTTATTTTTTTAATCCATACAGAGGACCAGACTTAACTTTGTTAGATTACATAATAAAACTTTTTTTTTTACACGATGACAATATTTTATTAGAACAGAACTAATTAGTCGTTTGCAGGAGATTGCCTCTGAGTAAAATATTACTTTTTGCCTAGACTTTAGTTTTATTCTGGTTGGTTTCAACAAGGCGGCACGGTGGTGCAGTTGGTAGAGCTGTTACCTCTCAGCGAGAAGGTTGCCGGATCAAAATCCCAGCACGGGACCTTTCTGGGTGGAGTTTGCATGTTCTCTCCGTGCATGCGTGGGTTTTCTCCGGGTACTCCGGTTTCCTCCCACAGAACAAAAACATGCATGTTAGATCGATTGGTAACTCTAAATTGTCCCTAGGTGTGAGTGAGAGACTGAATGGTTGTTTGTCTCTATGTGTCCCTGAGCTGGGCTGGAGACCTGTCCAGGGTGTCCCCCACTTCTCGCACAGTGACTGCTCGACATGGGCTCCGGCGACCCCCGTGATCCAAAATGGAAGAAGCGGGTAAAAGATAATGGATGGATGGATGTTAGTGATGTTATTTAAGCAGGATGGACAAACGACAGACATTTGAAAGTGAACGCCTCGCACCCCGAGAGGAAAACACTGCAGATATTCACACACCTCTACAGAGAAATTTGGAAATCGACACTCGAGAACTGTCTGTCCCGTCTGTCAGAACTCATCAGTGAAAAGAAACACGGTTGTTTCGTGTCTTTTGGTTTTGAGAAATGCATTTTACAGGAAGCTACGTTCACTTTGATCCATTTGAAGCACACACACACTCAGCAATAACATATTAAACAAAATCTCCACCATTCTACGCTATATATGCTGTTTGCAGAAAATATGTTGTATCTGGCTTTAAATCTTGTACTTTGCTGAAGAGTTCCTTTGACCTGTGTCTTTGATTCCTTCTCTAAATTAAGTTTCTGGAGAAAAGGCCTCTCACGTGTCCCCAAAGAAGAAATCAGGCGGTTGTGCGTCGATGTCCTCCGGCTCACCAAGCATCAAAATCTAAAAGAGAAACAGCACCTGGACAAACTGTGATTGTACTGATTATTACCTCCTTTGTATGAATCCCTTCGGACGATTCGTAACGAAACACTGCATGAAGAGGAGAGCACAAAGGATTTATTGGTGATGCCATCGACTCATCATACGATGCGTTTTAAACGGTGGTTATGCACAGGAACCACGTTTAAAAGCGACAACACTGGGCAGCCATGATCTTGGCACGTTCTCCATGTTTGTCCTCAGCCATGAGGTTAACTATAAGCTGATAGTATGTGATCAACTGCACTGTGGCCCAATATTCTGCTTCACCCTCAATAAAACCAGCTGGACTTTTCAATCAGTGTTGTGAAAATGGCAGCCGACAGTTTCCAGCCCCGGACAGAGGACGAGCTCCACCGCAGTGATTTCACAGTATCAGTGCTAGCATCTCTCCACCTCAGTAACGAGGCTTTGGTCATGGATGAGAACATGACTCACACGGAGGATAATCCTCAGCCCTGTCCTGCTATGATGTCATCACATCTTAACCAATCACAGCAGGAGGCGGGGCCTGCTCCACCAGCATATCAAGGTATGATCACAATTCTGCTTTAAGCTTTTATTTATTCATTTACAGAAATCACTGAAAATATGAAATGTGATGTGTTTTTAATATAATTTTGCAGACTGAATAGTCCAAAAACTCCTTTAAGGTGCTGAGCTTACTGAAATGTTTAATTTTTATTTACTTAAAGAGATGATTCAGCTCTTTTGAAGTGGTGTTCTGTCAAATACGTTATGTACAGTTATTATTTTACCTGTGTTAGATAGATATTTGAACAGTCGCAGTTTGGAGAATTAGTTAATTTCTGACCAGATTTGCAAGCCAATGGCTCGTAAGGGCTCCACAGTTTTAGAAAAACCTGCAACATGCAACATTAGTTCATATGTTCATGACAATATCAATAGGAATAAACCCACGTCCTCCTCACTTCTGACTTTAGGTGGTAACTCACTAACTGTTGGACGACTGTTGACTCAAAACTGTGAAAATTACAAGAATATTTGCAAACTTTCTGCTGCAGTCTCACTAAACTTTGAGTGTTTGTGATCAAGTGACTGACTAGCCTTTGTGGCCAAGTTAAATGTGGCCATTTTTTTTGAAAATCACAGCCTATTTTGTGCGCACAGCTTGCATTCTTGGCTGTGCACATTATTTTGTTGTCCACCTTCGCCCACTTTGTTTTGCCCCTTGGCAGGCATCCCTAACGTTTACGATTTAATCAGCTGGAGTTCACCTCTGAATGAAGACAGACAGATTTAGACTGGATTTTAATAATTATTTATCATTGTGGTTTCTAGATCTGGACGTTTGTCTCAGACGTTTACCATCAGCGGACAGCTTCCATACAGGAGTTATAATACAGCTCTGGAGCTCTGCGACTTGCACGAGCAAGCTCTTAACTATGAGTGAATGATGTGAGACAGTCTGAAAACATTTGGGAGATTCCCCCATGAACGTTTGTCTGTTCACAGCCCAGGGTGAACCTCCTTTAGTCTTCTGTCATCACTGTCATCTAAACCAGGTGTGGGCCTCAAGGCCAAGGAACGTCTTTTGGATGGACTCAGTAGTACTTGTATAACGGTTTATGATTCACTGCAGTCCCAACAGTCTTTAATATTATTTCTCTCACTGGTATTGCCATGATAACATTTTTATACACTGTGCAGCCCTAATTGCTGGTTTGAGTGGGGACAAGGAAAAATTATGATTCTATTTTCATCCAAACCCTAATTTATAAACCTTTATACCACCATTACTGTATTTTCAGACAGAAAAACTTTGATATTCCTGCTGGCAGTACCAATGAATGTACTGGAATTGCTACAGCCAGCTGCCACTGCTATTTGCACCAGTAAATAACCATTGAATTTTGTGTACAAGTCTATAATGCAAAGTTGAGGGCAAAGTGAAGGTTTATTAAGCAATCCATATTGGTTTTAGACTTGTGAGTTGATTGTGATCTTATTAATTTGGTCAAAAATCATCTCGTTTTTTCAAATTAAGGTCATTCAAAGAGTTATTTACAAAAAGTTAATTGTTCAGAACCGTTCCAGAGAACGGCACTTCAAGAGATCTGAACTTTTTCTTTAACAAACCAGGTTTCTAGAAGGTCTCTATGGAGCGTTTGGTCTTTTCCTCAGGTTTTTTTATTTTTATTTTTTATTTTAGCCAAATTGAGAACCACCTCTGCCTAAGGATCAATACAGAAGCAAAAAGTCAAAAATTTATTGAGAGCAGGCTCAGTTGGTAGAGCTGTCGCCTCTCAGCGAGAAGGTCGTCTGATCAAATCCCAGCCGGGAGACCATTCTGGGTGGAGTTTGCATGTTCCCTCCGTGCATGTGTGAGTTTTCTACGGGTACTCCGGTTTCCTCCCACAGACCAAAATCATGCATGTTAGATTGACTGGTGACTCTCATTGTTTCTAGGTGTGAGTGCGAGTGAATGGTTGTTTGTCTCTGTGTCCCTGTGATGGACAAGGGTGCCAATGAACATCCCCCCTCCACCCCCCATGATCTGACAGGGAAGAAGCGGGTAAAAATAATGGATGGATGGCTATAGAGAGCAAGGTACACAAAAATATAAAGTAAACCAATCTGATTAAAATTATTCAACACACGAGGGCTCAGTGTGTAGATGCTAAAATAAATAGCTCATAAATACATAAACAGAACAAGATTTGTGACATACTGCTCAAAACTTAGAATAATACAAAAATTATTTGCAAAAATAAATAATAATAATGACAGTGTGTGTCTCAGTGAGGAATCAGCAGATGGCAGCATTTATTTTGTCATGGGACCGGAGCACTTGATACAGTTTGTGTCAGAGATGAGTTGGAGAACGAAAGATCCTGATGTTATTTAGAAACGTCCTGAGTCTATAGACCTGATCCAGATTCATATTAACTTAGAAGAAAGTCAGATGTTTTTAAGCAAGCAGGATCTTAACTGTGGATGAATGCCAACTACCCCCCCCCCCCCCCCACACACACACACACACACACACCTCCTATAGGAGCATGGTTAGATGCTAAAATCTTTAGTTCTTGAAGCAGAAATGTGTTTATATTAAAAATGGGGCAGACCTGAACCTTGATTGGAAGGATCATGAAAACTTTGGGAAAGTCCTGCTTTTCTGCATGCAGCTCTGTGAACATCAAACCAAACCCCTCCCCCCAACACACACACACACACACACACACACACACACATACACATACACACACCAAACCGGACCGCCTGAGGTCAGTTGATGGTGGCTGACCCACCATTAGATCTGATAAGCAGATTCAGTGAATAATTACTTCAGCAGATGTTCCAACGAACTAAACGAGTATAGTTGACATAAAGTCGTGTCAGTTCTTTGGATCTGGGGGGTTGTGGGGATGGGGTGGGGGGGACTCAAGCTAACTTTGGTCCTCCTGGAAAACACTTTCCTCGAGAGTAGACGTCTTCCATCAAGTAACCAAGATGGCACAGATTGTAGAAGTTTGATTTTTTTGGTCAAAGATTGCTTTTAAAGCGTTAGGAATATTATGAATATATAAGTGTCAGACATTTTTAATTATCTATCAAGATCCTTAAATGTATTCTCTTAAAGGATGGGGGAAACCCCTCAAAGGAACAAGTAAAAACTCATATAGGTTCAGATCTTTACAGGTTTTCAGCAACATTCAGGGTTTAATAGATGATGATCCCATTTGGCTTTAAATACCAGACAAGTTCTGACGAGCCTCACTGTTCGAAGGCACGGGGGGGTCATCATTTTAAGTCCTAACGTGGGACTCCTCCGGCACACGGCTCCGTCTGCAGCAGCAATTTCAAACATCTCCAGGCGTGCCTTCACTAGTGCTGACGGGATGACTTACATCTGACAGCACGCCTCACTGCAGCACGCGTGTGCATGTTTACATGTTGCACACGAGCATTCAAAGAAACGGCCTACAGGTGCTCACCTTTTCCTGCATCACTAACCCAGACAGGTGCGATGCACACCAACAGGAGCACATGAGCTCATCTGCATCTCGCTGTAGACAGCTGTTTGTTAGGCGAGGCAAGGCGAGGTCAAGCGGGAGCGATTCTGGCTGCGAGTGCCTGAGCTTTGAGGAGTGCCAGTTCTGGTATTTTCGGCAGTCAGACAGTGTCACCTGTCAGCGCTCCAGTCTGGACAGATCCTCCTGCAAGCTGCAAGGCTAAGCAACTCAACTATAGCTCCTCCGGTTTTGTCGGGGGAAGCTGCAGTGTTTGCAGACGGCCACATTCAGACTGTTCTTTGACTTTTTCGTTTCTAACATTGGACTGTCGTGCGGTTGAAGTTTCAGAGCCCGTAGAAACAGAGAAAGGCCAAAACGACACCGAGATGCAGTCTCTCACACAGACACCGGGTCCAAAGGAGATCTGCTCCAATGGTGATCAAGAGGATTTGCATCCTGCCCTGAAAACCATCAACAAAGCTGGAGGTACTCATCAGCATTTCCTCGCTAGTGGCAATTTTTCACATCAGTTTTGTCCCAAAATAAATGTTGTTCTTTGTCTACAATTTAAAAAGTTGTACAATTTACAAATGTTCTGTTTTGGTTAATTGAACAATGTTGACAAAAGATAGTAGCTATAAATACACACACACACACATATATATATATATATATATATATATATATATATATATATATATATATATATATATATATAGCTATGAAAAGTATAAAACGTGAAAAGCAGTTAAAAGACTGACGTTTACTGAAGGTTTCTTTCATAACTGACCTGATTTAAATATGAAAGGAAGCAAAAAAATAACAAAAAGAAGAAATAAATCATGACATTTGAAAGAAAATTAGATTTTTTTTTAAACAATTTCCATTTTTCAAGTTGCTCTTCCTGTCGTTATTGTGATTTAAAAAAAACAACAACTTTTGATTGATTTTGTGATCAGATATTCAACTTGAGAGCAATATAACCAAAGCTACGGGCGCCGCTGGCAGCAGCGCTGACGAAAGCCAGTTGTCTGAAGCAGAGTGGTACTGGGGCAACATCTCCAGGTATTGCAACCATTTATTCCTGCCATATGCAACCATTTCAGACTAACGTATTTGAATTTAATCGACTTTTCTTGGATTTTTAAAGAAAACAAATCTATCCTAAATGACTGTCAAGAAATGGAAAAAACAGAAATTTGATTGTAATAAGACAAAAATATTGTAGGAGTAAATATTTATTTCCAACTCCACTGCAGTCTTATTTAAGTTTTTACTTCCTTTCCCCTCCAGCTGAGCATCACTAGACAAAAGTCAACCCAACATGGCCACTGTGGTTATCATCATCTGCTTTAATGCAACATTATATAAAAATATTCCTGTTGATTTTAAAAGTGAGGCGTTAATGCGTGCTGAGTGTCCATTATATCAAGACAGTGCAATTCCTACATGTGCACTTTTGAAGCATCTTATTTTTTGTAGTTTGAACTAATCTCAACAAATCCTAACTTTCTTCTTTTTTGGTCTAGAGATGAAGTGAATGAGCTCATGAGAAACACTCCTGATGGCACCTTTTTGGTCCGAGATGCTTCCAGTAGGATTAAAGGGGAATATACTCTGACGCTACGGTACATACGCTGCACTGATTTCATGCGTTCGTTACATAAAACTGTACGCTGCCGTATAAATATTACACCCTAATAGTTAAGGGATTAAAAATAACTGTACATTATGTTTAGAATTTGAGTTACTAACAATGAAATACATCGTTTACTCCAAATCAAATTTTAAACTCACGTTTCGAATGAGGCTTTTCTTTGAAGCGTAACTCCAGACATTTAACAGAATCTGGACCGTCTGGGTTTCAGATGATGACACTGTTGATTAGGGCCTGGCACCGACTCCAGCAGACGGCAACATGACTCCATCGACTAAAGATGTGTTCCACTCGTGTTTTCTCCCCCCACTCATCTAACACACATTTGTCTATAGACACGTTCCAATATAGACGGATTGCACAACATTGACCTAAATTAGTTTTAACCCAATCTGGATGTTGCTTTATATGTAAAATTGTCACCCTCAGCTGTTTTTTAATCTCCTTTTCAAGCCGATATTCTTCCAGTTTTCTGTCTTGAGACAATTCGCTGCATGCCGGGCAAGGAGAGTTAAAACTCAACCATGTTCATTCAGCTCATCTGGATGGTTTCTTTTTTGCTGAGATGTTTCATCCTTCATCCAAAGGACTTCTTCAACTCTGAGGAGACACCAAACAAACTGATTCCCACAAACATAGTGGGAATAAAAACAGTTTGCTGGTGCTAAGATTGTCTCCGGGGCCCGCCCTCTCCCCCGTCTACTCCTCTGAGACAGTCGTGCCAAAAGGGTTCAAACACCAAACGCTCAATAATCCAGGTATAAAAATCTAACAATGTTCCATCAGGTCATCTGGATGGATTCTTAGATTTCTTTCTCAGTCTGAAGAAGTCGTTTGGATGAAGGACGAATCAGCTAAAACAGAAACTGTCCAGATGACCTGACTGAACATTGTTAGAGTTTGACCTGGATTATTGAGCATGAACTTTGGTGTTTTGAACCAATTTGGCATGACTGTCTCAGCGGAGTTGACGGGGGAGAGGGCGGGCCCCGGAGGCCGTCTTAGCACCAGCAAACTGGGTTTTTTCCCCACTATCGAGTATGATGTTTGTGGGAATCAGTTTGTTTGGCGTCTCCTCAGATTTGAAGAAGTCCTTTGGATGAAGGACAAAACGTCTCGGCTAAAAAAGAAACCGTCCAGATGACCTAACTGAACATAGTTGGATTTTATACCTGGATTATTGAGCATGAACGTTGGAGTTAAAACTGTTTGGTCTGGAAGAGAAGTTTTCAAATAGACTGAAATGGGAGCCAACAACCATCAAAACAACTTGAACTTCTATTAGCACCAGTCTAAACATCACATTAATAATCAAGAAAACTTTTTGTTTGATTTCTGCAGAAAAGATGGGTACAACAGACTGATAAAAGTCTTCCATCATGGGGGGAAGTGTGGATTTTCAGAGCCACTAACCTTCCCCTCGGTGGTGGACCTGATCCAGTATTACCAAAAGAAGTCACTAGCCCAGTACAACTCCAAACTGGACGCACGCTTACTCTACCCAGTGTCCAGATACCAGCAGGTGGGTTCATAATGACTGTGTGCCATTTATCACAGATCATAAAGTTGATGAATTTCGCTGGGATTTTCACTACATGGCAACCTTTACTGTTTTATTTGTATTTGTACTTTAGAGCTGATCTATAGCAGAACAATTTACTGAGATAAAAATTAAGTTCAATGCTCATATTTAATGGGTCTTGTATCATTTTCAAATTATTGTTTTTTTTCTGTCGCAGCAAGTTGCAATGGAGGTCGACATTTGTGCAGTTGGAGAACAACTGAAAATATTTCATGATCAATATAAAGAAAAGAGCCAAGAGTATGACCGCCTGTTTGAGGAGCTGAACCAAACCTCCCAGGTACAACTTGTATTACTCATTTTTACCAACATGTCCCTACAAAATGTTTAACCTATATTGGTTTTAGGTGACTACTAATCCCCAACACTGCTTTAGCTTTAAAGGACTTAAATGTTAAGATTTTATTTCACCGTTACAGGAACTCCAGAGCAAGCGGACCGCCATTGAAGCTTTCAGTGAAATCATTCGGATCTTCGAAGAGGAGTGTGAAACCCAAGAGCGCTACAGCAAGGAATACATCGACATGTTCCTCACGTTGGACAGCAGCACAAAGACAGACAAGTATGATCCTAAACACTAACAGCTTCATGTTTCGATATGCTTACACGCCCATCAGAGCCAAAATTCACCGAAGCTGCTGCTTCACCTGCAGGATTCAAAGCAACTCAGGCGAATTACAATCAACAGTGGAAGAGATCCACAACAGCAAGAAGGCGTTGGAGGAAGAGCTGAGGACGAAGGCAGTGGCTCACATGGAGGTGGACAAGAAAATAAGCAGCCTGAAGACGGACGTCGTGCAGCTCAGGAAGATCAGAGATCAATACCTTCTGTAAGTTTAGCGCTCCACGCTGTAACAGAAGAAACTCCAACGAGAAAATCATTTCAAATTTAGACACAAATACATGCTGACCTGTTTGTGAGTAGACTGGGAAAATGGTATTTTATGTAAAAAAAATTATCGCGATGCCAAGTTAAATCTGTTGGATAAAATAATTGTCCTTTCAACATCTGTTTACTCAAGCCACTCTGAGGACACGAGAAGATTTTTAAACTGGCCTTTACTTGCAAGGGCAGACGTTCACGAGGAAGCCTTCACACATGTACAAAAGTTACATGCTTTTAGCCTCATCGGTGAGAATCTGCGCCGGACAGAGAGGCGGGAAAATCTTTAATACACGCTTAACAAACGAGGTCGAGACGACCTCGGCTTTCCAGCTTACAGACTCGGCGAAGGCCTTGGAGTTATCAGGTGCGCCTGCAGGCTCCTCTCAGGAGACAAAACAACTCTCTAACGCACACGCATTAATTACCGTACTTTCCACCGTACATGTCGCACTGTCGTATAAGTCACATCCGTCCAAATGTCTCTAATAAAGTGGAATAAACAAATATGTCACTTCGCCGTATAAGTTGCATCTATTATGCATCACTACCTGGAAACGTGGGCCTGTGTGTCAAAAGTCGATTGGCGGCCACGGGAGTGAGCACGGGAGGACTTTAACAAGAATTTAACAAGATTAACACCTAAACACAATTATTTGTTTGATCAACATTATAGCAAAGGTGTGTCTCAGTTGAACTTTTCCTTAATAAATGCACTTTAATGGTCAAATCAGCTGCACTTTGCCACGTCGCCCAGGCGAAATGCAGCTGATTTGACGTTTGCTCCAGAAGTTCCGGAGCGAGCTAAAGGTGGTTTTATATGGCAAGCCAAGTGTCTCATTAATAGCCCATCCATCCATCCATTATCTTTACCCGTTTATTCCATTTTGGGTCACGGGGGTCGCTGGTGCCCATGTCCAGCAATCACTGTGTGAGGGGCGGGGTACACCCTGGATGGGTCGCAAGTCCATCACAGGGCCACATAGAGACAAACGAGACAAACAACCATTCACTCTCTCACTCACACCTAGGGACAATTTAGAGTTACCAATCAGCCTAACATGCATGTTTTTGGTCTGTGGGAGGAAACCGGAGTACCCGGAGAAAACCCACGCATGCACGGAGAGAACATGCAAACTCCACCCAGAAGGCCCCTGGACCGGGGTTTGAACCAAGGACCTGCTCGCTGAGAGGCAGCAGCTCTACCAGTTGCGCCACCGTGCTGCCCCTCATTAATAGCCACTTTTACCTATTAATTAGACACTTGGCTTGCCATATTACTCAAGCGCCCTCTAGTGGCTGAAAATGGTAGTGTTCAATATTTTCCATGTCAGAATGAATGAAATCATCAAATCAGTCAAAAACTGGGTTATAATTTTTTTTTTTTTTTTTTGGGGGGGGGGGGGGGGGGGGGAGACGACGTATATTAGTCATTTGGGTGTATAAGTCACAGGACTTGCAAATTTATGCAAAAAGGTGCAACTTATACCACGAAAAACACAGTAATTACTGATAAACATCCATAACCTTTACCTAAATTCCCTTGACAAAATCTGCCTTGATCCGATCCAAATAATTTAATTTTCACTATTTGTTGATGCGTACAGCACAGATGCAAACTAAACTAAAAGTGCGTTAAAGCTGAAACAAATACAAATCTTGAATGTTGCAAAGGGCAAAAAGTCCCTGTGCACATTCAGATGAAGTGGAAAATCCATGGTTGGAACACAAATCAGTCTTTGCTTTTTTGTTTGTTAACCCACAAGAACAAGTTAAACACAGCAGAGGTACAGAGGTCACATGTTTACAGAGGTCACATGTTTAAAGGTGACTTCTTCATGTTTCAGGTGGCTGAGCCAGCAAGGTACACGGCAGAGCCAAATAAACAGCTGGCTAGGCATAAAGGATGATGAAGAAGAGTAAGTATCTTTTTTTTATTGTCCTATAACTAAACTGACAGACAAATCAGCTTTAAAGACACTTCTTCCTCTGCTTTACTCTTTAAATGTGTGACATAGCTTCCCTTCATTCTAGCATCAAATAAAGAACGATTATGAATTCAAGAGTGTGTGCATTACATAGTTTTACTTCGGCTAAATTAATCTGTTTGTATGTAAGCCCATACACGCTAGAAGATGATATCCGCCAAGAGGAGAGGACCTGGTATGTTGGTGGTATGAGACGCAAAGAGGCGGAGGAGCTGCTGAAAGGAAGGAGGGACGGGACATTCCTAATCAGAGACAGTCAAACTCAGAGAGGCTCCTTTGCCTGCTCCGTTGTGTGAGTGCCCTTACAACAACTTACTCAATTTCATTTAAACAAATAAGATAAATGTCCCGTTTGTCTTCCCGCAGGGTGGACGGGGACGTGAAACACTGTGTGATCTACAGGACGTCCACAGGATACGGCTTCGCTGAGCCCTACAACTTGTACTCGTCGCTCAGGGAGCTCGTCCTCCACTACCGCCACACGTCGCTGATCCAACACAACCAGCAGCTGAATGTAACCCTGGCCTGGCCCGCTCTCAGCCCGCCGTCCAGCTGAGACACACCAGCACACCACCCTGATTCCCAAAGTTTCACAGTATGAGCACAGACGACACACCCCAGTGGGCACGGTGGCACTGCTGAAACAAAACACCGATAATATTCGAGCACACGGGTTTCCGTCTCTATTTCCACAAATAACGATATGGTTGAGCCATCAGTCGAGGTTAATAATCAGACTGGACCAATTTTTCAGAAGAGCTTTGACGCTGATTTGCTCAAAAACACGATAGTTGCAAATTTGGCTCTAAATAAAAGCTTTTCACTAAAATACACAGAGGAAGATCATGTTTAAAGTCATAACAGCTGTCAGACTAATCAACTGTTCCAATGCTGTTGATTAGTATGTTATGCATGTGTATATGTTTATGTATAATAATTTAAAACCATTGAAAAATTGTGAATTATGACAGCTACTATGGCTTCAATTTACTGCTGTTCTAACAACTATCTGCAGTGTGAAGCAATCCCAATTCTAGTTGTTTTTAAAAAAAAAAACTTCTCTTTGACATAAAGCGGTCACAATATTCAACAGTGAATCTAATTTGGCTGCAGACAGAAATACTGATGAAAATCTGTCATCACCACACAACTGAAAAGTGACCAATCCTATTTAATTCTAGGCAAAACAGTGAAGTGGTTCACTGCAACAACGAATACAACAAAGGATATTAATATCCAGCTTTAATTATACTCATCTATTAAAAAGCTTCCATCTGAAGAACAGTCAAAGCACAAAGTTTAAGCACATTTAAAAAAGAATGTGGCTGAGTAATACTGAAAGGTCTAGTTCACTGGACTACACGTTTCTTTTATCCTGAGTGACAGCACAAAAAAATTTAAAGTATTTTCAAACAGCAGATGCACAATGTTCAAACTATTTGCTCAAAGAAGACACACGTGTTCATTATTCTTAAACTTTCGTAACAGAGTTATTTCCCCCCGGAGTTAATCCCATGTATAATCAGGGCGGTAGCTGTGTTAAAGGTGCTTCTAGTGAAATTAAGCTCAGGAAGGGACTCTGCACTGCAGGTGCATTATGGGTACTGCAGGGACTGAGGACACACTCAAGCACTTTATCCCAAACTAAACAATGTGGAAACACTGGATCAGACGAGTCCATTTTGAGTCCTGTTCTTGGTTGACAAAACATTTTGCTTTATTATCTTTTCTCTTTTAATTATTCTTTTTTAGGGCTTTTCAGTTAGGGGAAAAAAAAAAACCTGGCAAATATGTGTAAACCAGTGGTTCCCAACCCTGCTCCTTGAGGAACACCATCCTGCATGTTTTTGTTGTTTCCCTCCTCCTACACACCTGATGATTCAGTGATTTAATTACTTCCTCAAGTTCTGCAGAAGCCTGTTAATCACCCATTTATTCAAATCAGGTGTGTTGGAGCAGAGAAACACCTAAAGCATGCAGGACGGTGTTCCTCAAGGACCAGGGTTGGGAACCACTTTGAATTAACACGAGGTAGATTAATAATTTAATTTACCGTCTTTATTTTATTTCTGAATAATAATGTTGAAGGAATCGTCAGATCTCTTGATTATGACGTTTGTTTCTAGTTCTGTAGAAAATTGTTGAAAGGTGCCTTTAGGAGTTTTATTGCAGCTGTATAATCTCTTACAGATTAAATAATTATATAGACTTATCAGGTCGTGTCTAGTTTGACACTTGATTTCAACATCACAGTATTCCCTAATCGAGAGCATTAACTTTGAATTATTCCATGAAGGAGTTTTGTGTAAAAGATTAGGCCACAATGGATTCACATCGCACTTGAGATGACAAATCCAAAGGGGATTATTTTAATAGCCTTTATTTGACGACTAAATTGTGATATTATATCCAATAGAGTCAAAACATCCAGAAACAGAGCTAGCATTTAAAATTAAACATTACAGAAAAGGGATGTCACAGAAACTGATAGTACCAAAATACACTGCGTTTATTCATTTGGTTTTCAGAATAAAGCCGCGTTCACTTCAAACTCCCAAGATGCAACACGATAACGACGACTCCTGGGTTTTTCTTTAAAAGATGAACTCTTACCGTTCAATGTTTGTTTTTTCGAAGAGAACAGATTAGTCGAGAGGCGGCGCTTTAAATCTGTAGGTTAGTTTAAGATTCATAACCAAGATGGAATAAAACGGCAAAAGTCACAGTTTGAACCTGGAGTTATTCTTTTTTTAAAAAAAGAACTATTCCAGCATCGTAGCACCAACCTCAGAACCAGACAAACCGTCCTGGATTGGTTTCACTGAACGCGAGTGGAAGAAATCGTGTCCAGATGAAAACATGCTGCATGAGGACGCGTCTGTTTTTGATCAATAATAATAACTGCTGCAAAGGGACTTCACCCTCCTGCTGCCCTGGGGTCAAAATGACCCATGAGGCCACAGGTTTTTTGTAATTAAAGTTTTTCATTGATTTTTCAGAACATGGGATTTTTTAACGAAATACAACACAAAATAACAAACATAAAAAATTTAAATAAAGAACATAAATCTGGTTCCCCCCCATACCCCCTCTTTATTTCCCACTCCCAATGTAATAATACATTACAGGTTAGTGATAATTAAAAAAAAGCATGTCTGTAATTAGTTTGGATGATTCAAAAATCCAGAAAATCGAGAATCAAACAAATAAAACAAAAAAGAAAGAAAAAGTCAAAGCAGTAACATTTTAGATCATACAAACGTCTTGTCACACTTTTTAGCGAGTCCCAAAAACTGTCCCAATCCGTGTCTCTGCTCCGGTGCCGTTTGTAAAGTTACACAGTCAAAAATTAACAGCAATATTTTGGTTTATTTAACCTTTCATAAGAAAAAGAAAGTTTTTTTCAATGTCATATATTCACCACGTTATTCATACATTTATAAATGTTCCAAACTAAACATTTAATTTACAAGCTAAATATTTAGTTTACAAACTAATTAACTTGAAAGTTAAATATTATTTATTAAACTATTTAGGTGTAAAATAAATATTTAGTTTCCAAGCTAAATATTTATTTTCAAACTAAGCATTTCATTTCTAAGTTTAACATTTAATTCTGAAACTAAATATTTATTGCTAATTAAATATTTAACTAGGACCTAAATATTGATTTTACAAGCTAAACATTGAATTTGCAAAATATTTCATTTGCTAACTATATATTTAGCTTGGACCTAAATATTTAACTTGCAAGTTAAATATTTAGATTCAAACTAGATTAAATATTTTGCAAAGTAAATCTTTAGCTTGGAAAATAAATAAATAAATAGTTAATTAGCAAAAATAAATAGTTAGTTTAGGAATTAAATATTTAGCTTGTAAATTAAATATTTAGTTTGGAACTAGGACATTTATAAATGTATGAATGACATGGTGAAAACATGACTTAAAAAAAAAAAATTCTTATGAAAAGCTAAATAAACCAAAATATTGCTGTTAATTTTTGACCTTGTAACTTTACAAATGGAACCCCAAAGGCTGCGTCCGCCGTTGATTCAATCCAATCATTGAACTCTGGGTGCTTTGTGGTCTTCCAGTGTGTTAAGATGATCCTGGATGTTGTCACAAGACCAACCACAACTGAAAGGACGCCTTTGAAGATGTCCGGCATTTGAGATCTGTCTCCCAGTAAACACAGTTGTGGGGTCCAAGGGACTTCTGAGCCAAACCAGGCACTCAAACCTCCAAAAAACTTAATTAAAAAAAAATGTAACCAAAGAACATTCCCCAAAACAGTGTAAATATGTCCCCAACTCTTTTTTTTTTTTACATTTCCAACACCAATCGTCCGTCACTGATGCCACAGTTTTAAGACTCGGGCCACGTGGATCGTTTTAACCCAAGGGCAGCAGGAGGGTTAAATAAAAACAATGTGAACACGTTAAACAGCCAAAAGCTTCACATCTGCACGAAGGCTTGGTGAATTATTAGCGACAAACATTTTGTTCAGAGGGAGAAGTGACGCGAGCGCAGCTCGACTACAACAAACAACTGGACTTACGTTGTTTAATACGCTTTAGTTCAATCACATCTTCAGATTCGTGCGTGGTTTGTAAAATGTTTAGAGCCGCTGCATCGGTGGCAGCATTTTACACAGAATTTTGAGAAAGGCTGCATTCGTGTTAGGTTTTTGTTTGAGCTTTTTAATTGAGTTTAATTTAAAATCCTGGTAAATCAGCGTGACATCCCTGAAACGTCGAAGAGCTTTAAAAATGACGACTACCTCAGTGTGAGGTAAACACAAAGGTTGATGGAACACTGTGTCAATGTAGTTAACATTTTCTTTAAAACTTTTACTTTAAAGAACAATAATAATAAAAAAAATGTTTACATTTCCGACCTGTCCGGGTGAATCCAGCTCTGGGTGGGGAACAGGTTTGTGACCCAGGGACTTTTGATTGTGCGGTTTGTGTGTGGAGACAACGTGCGAATTATTCAACCTTAACTTCATTAAAAACTGAAAAAAATACATCATTACCGTATTTTTTGGACCATAAGGGCGCACAGGATTATAAGGCTCACTCTTGATTAAAAAAAATAAAAGCATTTTAAGTGCACCTTATAGTCCAAAAAAACCCGTTACAAATCAATTAATTTGTCAAGCATTAATTAATTATTTAGCATATATGCTTAGTTAGATGGTTTGATTAGAAATCGTTGTCCGAGTACATCTTGATGCACTTCTCTCCTCACGTTTAAATATGTGCTGATTGTCTTTGCGTACTTTCACTTGATGTTGTTCGGGTTTTTTTTTTGACTGTTACCTGCCATGAAGTGAGTTGGGCAGATTCCAGCTTTATTTGCTGTGAAGAGTTGTAAAAGTTGCATGCTGTTGTGTAAAAGCTTTTCTAGTTATAAGTATTTCTAGGCTGGGTACTGTTTAGATATTAGTTTTGTTACTACAACTGCACCACCAGCTACACACACATACGTTTCCTTTTTTTGGTGTTTTGTAAAAATGTCCGTTTTCCTTTTATTCACCCTCACTTTATTTCTGTGACTCGTGCTTGGTGTCGTTTTCTGTAGTTTTTCCTAAACCACAGTACAAGTCCGGCTCTAACTCGGCAAATGTTCCTTGATGGTTGCGTTCCTGTCGGATCCCTCCACCGCACAGTGCTGTGCTGCACAGGATTAAAAAGTGAAATCAAATGCACAGGTTGCAGACAGAGTGTGGCACAAATACCAGAAAGGAGTGGAAATATAACTTGTATCTGAGCTGGAAGCAAAATGAAAGCACACACCCCCTTACCCTCCTCATCATCTCTTTTATTTTGT